TCAAGTCCTTAAAAGGTGAGGAATCTCGTGTATTTATTGTCCCTTGATGCTTTTCACAAGAATACAGATGCCTCTGGATGCTTTCCTATGCAAGTCGATTTTTTACAAGATAAACAGGCTTTTCTGCAGCTGTGCATGTGCATGCGTGTGTGTGGTCGGTCATCACACACTCGGAGAGGTTCCCGGTGCTCTGCAAACACGCTTCCCCAGATGGGCCCAGGCGCCAAAGCCTACCGAAAAAAAAATGCAGGGGTTTCTCCTGGAATAACACCCTCTGGCATTAAGTTTTCCCTCTTTTCTCTGTCTCCGTTGCTTTCTAGCTATGCCCAGCTCTGCCCCTCCAGGAATGCAGCTGAGCCTCCTCTTTAGGTATGTGGCCCCCAATACTGTTGCACTTGATTCTTACCCAAGCATTTAAAAATAGCTGTAACAATAACACACGGGCTCTGGTTCTTCCTTCCCTGCCCATAGCAGAAATAGCTCAGCGAGTTTATAGACTGCATCCAGATTCATGACCAGAAAGGGCTCAAAGCCTCCCTTTTCCCTTTTGTCCTTTAAGGCAGCGATGAAAGGCAGGGAAAAAGATGCACAAATGACTCTTTCGATCTCCCCTTGCCCCAGAGCCATGGCGAGCTGCCTGGAAATGGGTGACGTCTGGGCGGGCGTGTTGTTTGGAGATGAGGGATTTGCATCTCTGGAGCGAGCTGTTCCCGTGCTGCCCCAGCACAGATGCAGGTGGGTGGGAGCAGTTCAGGTAGGCTCAGCTGTGAGATGCTGCAGGTTTGTGGCTTCTGCTGGCACCAGGAGCCTGCAAAGTCCCTGGCTCTTTTGTGCCTTTTCTGTGCATTCAGATTGTGTCTGGGATTTGCTTCTTCTGTTGGTCCCTGAAGAGCTGGGGATATGGTTTTGCTAAGATGCTCAGGGCTGTCACTGCTCTGTGTGCTCCTTCCCGTTGTCCCCAGGCACTTTGCAGTGGCCTGTTATTTGGATGTCCACCTCTGAATGTCCTTTGCACCATGCTGCATCCTTTTCCATGGAAAAGTTTGCCTTCAGCAAGTGGGAGGTGAGAGCAGCTGGGGCAGGTGGATGGACAGAGGCTGAGGGTTTGAATGCTGTTTCTGGCAAACTCCCTGAGCCCCGGGCTTTATCAGATGCTCGATGCTCTTCCCTTGCGAGGGAGGGTGGGGAGGCTGGCAGGGACGACAAGGAGATGGAAGGGCCCTGGCACCAGGCAGGGAACCTGGGGGAGCCAGGTTGTGCTCCATGGGGCAGGTGGGTGTGAGAGCAGGATGAGGGCTGTGCTCCTTCCTGCTGCCCCTGGAGGGGGCAGTTTACTTTTGCCTTTGGAGGGTTTGGTTTAAAGACAAGGTTGGTGCAGAGGAGCAAGCGTTACACAGGTGGGTGGCCAGGGCTTGATGGAGAAGTCCTTCCCCTCCTTGGTATGGCAAGGCAGCAGCCAGGTAAATGCTTGCTGCTCATCCGTGGCTCCTCCATGAACAATTGGGCAAATATATGTCACGCTTTGCATAAGCTCGTTAAAGATGCCAAAAAGCACATAGCTGGCAGAGAATAATTGCATAAACAAGGCTGGCGTTTACTGTGTGATTTAGGTGTTGTCCTAAGCAAGCAATGGTCCATCATTCCCTTTGGAAAGCTCTGTGAGTGGAACAGTTATTTACTGCCTGTTAAACTGAGCTGCTACACAAGTCCCGTTCGACTTGTTAATGACTTCAGCGACTGCAATTCATTCTGAAGAAGCAAATGATGAGAGTAAAATACCAACATCACCTTTCAGTAGATGTAATTACTGGGTCAGGAGAGCTGCTTTGCTTTCATAATTCACTGCCTGGGAAAACCACATGGCCGTGACCAGCTGCCTTTGCCTGGGGCTTGAAGAGCATTGAAGCTTGACCTGCACTCATCCTGGAAGGTGCTGAGCACCTGCAGGGAGAGTGGGGCCAGCAGCACGGCTGGCAAAAAGCAGCATAAGGTGTGGGGAAAGCCCAAGTTTGCATGAAAGCAGCCCAGAGATCATGTTATATCCTCTGGCTGCCAGGGTGCATTAGTTACCTGCTCTGCCACACATCCCCTCACATCAGCAGATGGGAATTTTACTGCGCCTGGGCCTCTATAGACATGGTCATGCTGCAACAAAATCAACCACCTCCTACCCTCTCTCTTTTTGCTTGGTGGCATGTTTCTAGCCTGGAGCTTGAAAGCCAGACACTGCTGTTGGTGCCAGTCTGACCAGCTGTGTGGTCCCATCCTGATCCTGTGCAGCAGACGGGCAGGAAGGTGGGCAGGAGAGTAAGCAGGACCCCAGGAGTGTGTGTCCCAGTGCCTCACTGGGAGGAGCAGGGAGAGCCCCACCAGATGAAGGCAGCGACTTGCCTGGGATTTGTCTCTGGAGCTGGTGTTTGAGTTCAGCTGTCAGAATGGGACCTTGGAAGCATCGCGGAGAGGGTTTATTTGGGGACAGCTCAACAGATGCTGGCTGAAACGCAGGGAGGAGCAACATCCCATGGCATGTACAGACTTTTATCCTCCTCAGTGCTGGCTGAGCTCTGTCGAGCCACGTGGGTCAGAAACAGCCCATGGCATCTGAATTGGGGCATAGGCAGGCAGCACCCCGAGCTCCGGTTTGCTTGGTGACCTCATGGGTTGTCTCAGATCTGCTTTTGCACCCGTGGAGCCTAACCTCTTGCATTGCCACTTATCATTAGGTAGTGGCTGGAACAAAAGCAGGAGCAGTTCCCTATAACGAGAGGCCACAAGCAGAAAGAGCTGCTAAGTACCTTGGGGACATAATGCAATTCTTTCCGAGCTTAGGGCAAGCAGGCACATGAGCAGCTCCTGGCCCCAGAAGGATTGCACTGCAGCTTTGTCCCTGGGTGGTTTCCTGCATCCCCCTGAGAGCTGGGCAGGCTGCAAGCCTGGCTGTACCACAGAACACCGAGCCCGAGACACAGTGGAGATGGAGGAGGAGGAAAGCTGTGAGATGGGGCAAGAGTGGGTGTGCAGAGGCACTGTTGTGCCCTGTCGGTGGCAGAAACACAACGAAGGCAAACCAGTGAGTAAAGAAGAGATGGGTACAACGTAAGGGGAGACGATGGGAGGGGAGGGAAGGGTTTGCCATAGAGAATATGCAGGAGCACTACTGGATCTGTCAGGAATCATTACAAACTTTATTTGTCTGTGCATTTGTGTACCATTGATAAAGATCATCACAATTAGTGGACTCACTGCCTATAGTGGTGGGCAATACACACAAAGAAAAATCAATGAAACCAAACAGATGAAATGAAATAATTGCACATATAGGTAATCATAAACCTGAACAACCTGCGCCTGTGTTTGATTCTTCCCCAAAAATAATTAGAAACAAAAAGAACCTCCCCAAACCCATCAAAAGTGAAAAAAGACTTGAAAAGAAAAAAAAAACAACACCCCAACTTCATATTCCTAGAGAAAAATCTTACAACAGGTTAATTGAAATTTCCACAAATTTTTCAAAATGAGTACAAATACCCCCAGCCAATCAGTTATGGTATAAGTGTCAGGTGTGTTTTTCAGCTGGGTGGGAATAGCTCACCAGTGGACATGCAGGCTGGGCATTCTCCTGGCTGGGACACCAGGAGGCCCGGCGAAGGGCGTAGGGTAAGGAGACATCTCTCAACACCAGTGCACAATGTCACCCCTGCCCTGTGCCCAGGGGAGTGCTACATCCATACCTCCCCGGGCTCAGCTTGCTACCCCAGCCCGCACTGCTAGAGTAGGGGGGTGATGCTGAGTTACACCTCCCTGTCTCATCCTTCCCATTGATTTCAGATTCAGAGTGCAAAATGTGGCCTTTTTCCTTGGGGGATGCTTCCTGGTTATGCTCAGCCATGTGGGAGATCTCCTTACAGCCCTTCAGCCCTCATACTCAATTATTCTGCCTCTAAATGTCTGTGGGAAAGGAGCAACTTCGGGGACTGATCCTGATGGCTTAATGCTCGGAAACGGGGGCAGTCACTAGACCTCTGGAGACACAGGGAATAGCAGGGGGCCAAGGTGTTTGGAGGTAGCCACCAGCTATAAAGGCAGAGGCAGGCAAGGTGCTGGGAGCCAGCTGTGCTCATCCCCCTTGGGCTCGGACACGGCTTATCCCACTCGGGCTCCTTGGGACCCTGTGTAAAACCTCCTGTGGATGGTGGAGAACTCCACCCCAGCTTCAGCATGTCTTGGACTGGCCGCTGTGGGGAGCCCCCCAGCCACACGGCGGGGGATGGAGCCTGCAGTCTCTGGGGTGTGGGTTTTCCTCCCCTGAAAACCTGTATCTGTGTGGCTGTTATTGCTTCTCGTGGACCCACGTGTAGAGCAATAAACAGGGACAGCTTTCCCTCCTTTTACCCCCACTAAGAGGAAACAAATAAATGGACAAAAAATCTATGGCAAAACTAAACTGACTAAAATAAATAAAACCTGGTGAAAAGAAAACACTTGTATCTGCAATGCTCAACCCACATGGCTGGAAGGACTATCGCTATAGGATGCTATATACAAATAGGGCTCATTTAATTCATGCAAATGTTACAAGTACCACGACAGCATGCCCGAGGAGATGGATGAGGCGGGAGGAAAGCCCCCGCCACTCCGCGCAGCCTCGGCTTAGGACACCGGACATGAGGTTGCGGCTGCACATCCCCGAAGCACAGAGGGGGAAAGGTGAGGGGCATGTGGAGGGAGATGCTAGTTGTACACACGCCAAAACAAACAAACAAAAAAAACCCAACCCCAAATCAATGACGAAAACGGTTTGTGTTCTATCCTTAGAAAGCTCCCACTTTCCCCTTGTCTTCAGTCCGGTCTCTTGCTTCTCTTCAACAGGGCCAGAGGGGACATTCCCAAGTGGCAAAGGCAGGTGGATGGATCGTGGTCGGAGATCAGGACCCTCGCTTTCCTCTCATTCCCTTGCCCACTGCTCTGTTTCTCACCAGCTACTCTGGCCTTCCCCGTACCGACATGCCCCGGTCGCCTTTGCATCCATCCTTCCCGGGGTCCGCGGGCGGGAGAGAGTGATGGAAAAGGGCTCAGTGGCTATCAGCTGCTCCTGTTGGTAGAGTTGCAGAGAGGGCCCTGCCTCCGGGCTCCTGGCCAGGGCCGCTGCCCAGGGAGGGGTCCTGCTGGCTTTGGGGTCCTGCCTAGTTCAAAGGATGCTCCAAAGCCGCTTTCCATCAGCAGGTGTGTGAACATGGCAAATCTCTTTTATTCTTTCTCTGTTCATTATACACAGCGTTATATCTATATCTATACCTATATATCATTCTATATAGATACATATAGATATATATATATTTACTATCTCTGATTGTCCCTTTAGAAGCCCTTTATGTGGCAGTAGGCTTCCAGAGATGAGAAGAATATGTATAAGAGCCAGAGGAGGATAAAGAGTGAGGATGTGAGCAGCTTGGAAGTCCGCGGCCCGCCCAGCTCACCTCCAATCTCAGGTCTCCGCCGGTAGAGCAGCACACCCACACTGATAAAAGCAAAAATGGTGAAGAGGGTGACGGAGAAGGCCAGGGTGCCAGGTGAGACTTGGAAGGCTTGTCCATGTGCTGCATGGTAGATGGCTGCGATGGACCAGGCCACCCCGATGCCGAGGAAAACGTTCACAGCATTGCTCCCGGTGACGTTCCCGATGGAGGCATCCGCGTACTGGTCCTGTGTTGCTGCTACTTTGCTGGCAAACGTGTCTGCATGTGGAGAGAAACCCTCAGTTAACAGCCAGGTAAGGAGGGACAGCAGCAGGCAGCCTGGGGACAAATGTCAACAGCATCACTTGCGGAATGAAGGTAGTGTGTAAGGGGACAGGGTACAGCCCCGTCTACGGGCACTCCCAAGGAAGGGCACATCTGGCCAGAACCAGAGTGACAATCAGAGTCCAGAAATGCCCAGGAGGGAAATCTCAATGACCAGCTTCTCCCAGTATGGCCCCAGATGCCCCACAGTACTTCAAGCAATAGACAACACTTCCCAGTACTACACTGCGTCGGGCCCTTCTCCCACATTCACTAATTTGTTGACTTGCAAAAGAACTGAAAAGGTTAGAAAAGCTTTGTGGGAGCCACAATGGTTTGTGTCTATCCTTCAGAGAAGGGCCATTTGCTGCATTTGGAGAGAAGAAATCAAAAAGCTTCTTTATTTGTTAAAAAAAAGATCCCATGGAAATGCATCTGACTGCTGAGGGAAGGAGGAGGCATTTCCCTTTGTTCTCAGCCTTGTTCACGGTGCAGCAGTGGGGCTGTGGGACAGTGCTGGTGCCTCTGCAGTGCTACAGCTGCCACCCCAGGAGAAAGGATGGGGCACACTGCCAGTGCCAGCCAGAGTGAGGAGACAACCACATGCACTTCGGCAAGCTTGAGTAGTGCTTTTAAGGCAGGGAAGGCCCGCATCAGCCTTGATTTCACTGCACATTTGTGTGATGCCTGTCTGCCTCCTAGAAAGCACCCTGCACCTCCCAGGTGTGGAGGAGCCCAATGAGCACCCAGCTAATACAACACGGTCTTGAGCTAGTTCAAACAAGAGGAGCCAAATGTATCCTAAAAAGAACTTCTTAAATGCCACCTTTTAACCACAAAAGCAGGAGGGAAGATTTTTGCTGTCAAGGATGTGAGACAGCGCTACTAACCTCATGTCTAAAAGTGTTAGAGGTCTAAAAAATTCTCCTTCTTCCGTTCCTTGCCCAAATCTGTTCTTCCTTTTGGTTCTGCTACTTCTTTTTTGGGCTCTGATAGCATTAGGACAATTTCAAGATCTTTGAGTACCCAAGTGCTGATCACTGGAAGTCTGGGGGTGGCAAGGGAAGGTGTGACTGATATGGGGGGGGGGGGTCGGGTTGGGGTAGAGCCCCTTGTCTGGGAGACACGCACCTGGGGGGGGGGGTGGTCGGGTTGGGTTAGAGCCCCTTGTCTGGGAATCAGGCCATGCCTGGCCAGCACAGCCCATGGAAGAAGGTGAATGAAAGGCACAGGCCCTCTCACACAAGCTGACATTGGACTTCCCAGAGCAACTGTGTAACTGGGACCATCCTCTCCAGTGCATCAGTTCCCTAAGAGGGGCCCTTTGCTGAGCCAGCAGAAAAGGAGGCTGGGTTGCAGCAATTCAATGTGCATTAGGAGGACAAAGTGGCATGTAGGTATGGAAACTCATGGTTTTTTTTCTCTCTCTGGTCAGTCCTCAGTCTCTGCTGTCTTCTGAGGCAGGGTGACCACTTGATCAGCGACACCATCTCTAAACATTTGTGGGGACAGGGCCTTCTAGGGGCTTCACAAGTCACATTTCAAGCAGCTCCCTCAGCTCAGCTCACCTCAATCCATCTGAGCCAAAGCTGAACCTGGTCTCACACAAAGGTGTCTGCTCTGGGCAGAGCACCCCGAGTATGGACTAGCACCTAACTCACCTGGGAGGCAAGGTTAAAGGAGCAGATGCTCAGAAGGAAAATGCAGGACTGCCAACATAGGCAGCATTTTAATCAAAGACCAATTTCCATCCTGAGAGTGGATGCCATGGAGGCTGTCCACAGAAATAGATCTTTGCAAGGGAAAGGTCCTTGAAATAATTTCCAGGGGACTGAATCCACATCCTGGTTCAATCCTCCTGGCCCATCTGAGACTGAAAAACAACTTCCACATACACTTCAAATCTGTCCTCGGGGGGTCCTGTAGAGCACAGCTGAGGACTTCGCTGTGCCCAGCTTTCCCAGCCCAAACCCAAATCCAGACTGGGCAGAGATGGACCTTTACAACAAACCCTGCTGTTGTCCTTACCTGGCACTGATGTCCCCAGTGCGACAAACACGACTGCGGTGACTGAGTCCTTCAAGCCAATGGTGCAGCCAAAGTGGGATGCCAGGTCACCAATGAAAGCTGTCAGGAGGCCGATCATGAGGATGGAGACAACGAAGCAAGCCCAGCCATTCCAGTAGTCTGTTGGGGGCACGAAGGCAAAAAGGACCTTCCAGAAGACGGTCAGAAAGTGCATCACATAGTCGAAGCAGGAGGGCAGTTTCTCCTCCCCACATTCATCGTCATCATCATCTTCCCCTGGAGAAAACCACCAGTGCCCGATTAGACTCACCCACCTTGGGCCCTGCTGTGCATACTGCAGCCCCCCAAATGTTGTGTCTCATGATTTGGGCCCTAGAAGGCCTTGACTTCTACATATCTTATTTCCTGGGCAATCATCAGAGGGGTTTGACGGCCTTTCCTGGCCCCTTCCCACGGCACAGAGAGACCCTCCAAAGGCAGGTAGTTGTTGAGCACCCCAGGCCATGAGCCAGCTATGGGGTATAATTTGTCACAGCAAAAATGCACTTTCCTTCTTCTCTTTACGTTCTGTCCCTGATCCAGGTGAGTGCCTCACTTCTCACCAACCTGTTGTTAATGCTTTGCAGGGTCATTTTCCCAGCATGAGCCTGCCAGCAGTCCTGGCCCAATCTCTGGTCACCAGGCACATTGCGTGTGTTGGATCCTGGCTATTCTGGTGCTGTGCAGAGTGCTCGGCCCTGCACGGCACACCACTGCTCATGGCTGTTGACCCTGCATCACCTGCAAGACCTGGGTCTCCAGCACAGAGGGGTAGTTGCAGATGTGAGTCCTTGTGCCCATCCTGCCTGATGTCCCAGGGGCTCTCAGACCTCAAATGCCAGCTGCTGATGCCCCCAAAGGTTCCTGGGGAGTTATGCATCCACAGCCGTGCCCCCTGGACATGCAGGCTGGCTCGTGCCCAGAAGCCGTCCTTGTGGGTCGCAGGGAAGGAGCTCAGCAGATGTCAGACTGTCCTGGCCCCCTCCCCTGGCTCCCTGGCCCTTTGCCCCAGCACTGGCCCAGCACATCTTCATCTTGTCAGTCCTGGCAGGGCCATGGGGATCCTGGCAGGTGTCTTGGTTTCTCCCTTCCCTGCTCCAGGCATTGGCACCTCACCTGTCTCTCCAAAGCTACTTGGTATCCAGCCTGCAAGGGAGGGCTGACCCTGACAGTGAACCTGTCGGGGCTGGTGATCTCGTGCCTGACTCCAGCAGCTCTGATGAGGCACCTCATGGGCCTGCCACCACCCTGTCCTCTGGGCAGGCTGTGTGGCGAATGTGGAGCTCCCCCAGCCTTGCACAGTGCACAATGCCAGAGCTGTGGCAGTCAAAAACTACTCCAGCTTGCGCTCGAACCACCCCCAGGCATGAAGGGGATGTGATGCTTTCCCAGTGAAATCAGTGGGAGCCTTCCTTCCATCCTCAAGAAACAAGGATGTGTTTCTAAGTCACAGATATCAGGGATTCCAAGGCTATTGCAGGTCATGTTAAAGACATCCCTTGCACTCGGGTTGGTGATTTGTCATTGTCTTTGATTTTTTTTTCCCTCCAAGGATGTGGATCACCAGATCACCCTGCATGGCGGTTGGCAAAAGTTCCCTACCAAGGGGAGGATGCAATGTGCAGTCCATCCCCACCCAACAGCATGAGTAAGCCTGGCTCTCCTTCCCAGGAGGACACCTCGGGATGGCAGAAAAGAGGGGCCAAGACCCAGAGCAGCCAAGAGCATCCAGTGAAACAGGAGCCTCTGCTCTACTCCACTGCAGTGGGCAAAGGGACAAGGTCCCACCCTGCCAGATGATGGGTTTAAGGGGACCAAGGCTCTGTGCCTGGGAAAAGCTGCTTCTCCAGGCAGCCACAGCACTGATCAGGCTGGCATAAGCTTTTGAATGAGACTGTGCAGTTTTTACCTGCCCCACTGCTGGCCAGGGTGAACATTCCTCCTTTCACATATTCCTCCACAAGGCAGATGTTTGATTGAATAATGTGTAAAGTGTCCTACAGGGAGAATAAAATGGTCTTCCTGTATGCTGTGTATCAATGCGCTGGTTTTGGCTGTGATAGAGTTGATTTTCTCCACAGTAGCTAGTATGAGGCTATGTTTTGGATTTGTGCTGACAACAGTGTTGATAACACAGGGATGTTTTAGTTACTGCTGAG